GATGAGGGAGGAGGGGGAGGAGGAGTGGCGCGGGGCGCTGTCTCTTCAAAACGAGGACCCAACACCTCGGAACGGGTCGAGAGATCTTGGGGTCGGCGTTTCGAAAAAACGATTCGTCAAAAGAGGACAACCATCCCGTTGGACCAACCAAGACTTTCGAAGCGCACGGCGTTTTGAGCAGTGTATCGGTACTAATGCAGCTGTCTCAAAAATGGAGGCCTGCCCCTTGGCAAACATCTCCACGATGCCGAGCGTAGGCATCGGACTAGCGAGCACCGCTATACTAAGATCTTCAAATGGTGGTGCATACGGTGCCGCGGCAAAATTTGACAGCCGAGGATAAGCCGGTCGTCCTCGAGCCCATCCCTCAAGAAGGCAGCAGATTCTGTCTCAGCGCCACACTGTCATCGGTGCGCGCTCCGCCGACACTTGTCTCAGGTGTGCGCTGCACCGGCCCCCGTCAGACCACGAAGTCGTCCATGGCGAGCTGGGGGACCTTCGGTGCCTTGCAGTTGTCGCCGCCTTCGTGGCAGTGGACCTGGTTCGACTTCTCGGGCGCGGTGAAGTCCTTGACGACGGCCCAGGAGCACTGGCCCTCCACGTTGAGGGCCCCGAAGCCGACGCGCACGTAGCCCATCTCGCCCCAATACTCGCCCCACGAATTGCGCACGATCCAGTAGCCGCCGTTCTCCTCGTCCTTGCCCCAGCCGACGACCGATACAACATGGTCGATTGACTCGCTCGGCGTTGTAATCACGCCGTTTTCGTAGTTCAGCAGCGGGTTCGCGTCGATGCCGCAGGCAATAGGACCGCGGGCATAGATCTCCTTCATCATGGCATCCTCAAAAGGAGGAAACCAATCCTGGATAACCATCCCAGACCCGTGCCCTTGAGGCACGAGTTGGAGTGTCCTCAGGTTCCGTCTTCGATCCCCTGGAGCCTCAGTCTTTAATCCTGAGGATTCTTTCGGGCGGGCCCGACCCGAAACTGCCAACTCGTCTGGGGCTGCCCGCGGGCCTCCCAGGGCGCGTGGAGTCTCGTCGCGTGGCTCCTTCGGGCCCACCGAGGCCCCCGAGACGGCCCGAGAGGGCCCCGAGACGCCGCCCAGGCGGTCCAAGAGGGCCCCGAGTCGCCGCACGACCGACCCCCAAGACGCCCAGGATGGCCCCGAGACAGCCCCGGGAGCCTTCCCAACAGAGCCCCGAGAGGCCAAGGTCCTTCATGCTCCTGGTGTGCTTCACTGTTTCTGGGGTCCTGCACCGTTCGAGCTCCCGACGCCCCAGGACGGCCCACGAGGCTCCCAAGACCGCCCCAAGACGACCCAAGAGGCCCCTAAGAGGGCCCCGAGCAGGCCCAAAATGGGCTCCAAGGCGGCCCAAGAGGCGCCCCAAGACAGCACCCAAAAGGACCCAAGAAGGGGGGCCACGAACCGAAAATCCGAGTTGTCCACCCTAAAAGGCCCTAAGGAGACCCTAAGGAGGCCCCAAGGCCCCCCAGAGCCCCCAAGAGGCCCCCAAGAAGCCGCAAGAGGCCCGAAAACGGCCCCCATTGTCCTCCCGCGACACCCCGACGAACATCCTAGAGGCATATGACCCACAGCCCAGGCACAATGGCGGGATGGGCCCAATGCCATTCGATGCACATTCGGAGGTCCGCGCGGATTTGGATCTGCGCACACACACACACACACACACCTGGCGCGCAGAGCGCGCCAGGGGTGCGGCGCTGGAGGCCGCGAGGTGGGGCCCAGCGCAAAGCCCCCCCGACGCGTTTATGTTTATTAATGCTCTGGCTGGCTTTTGTTCTTCGAATCCTTGCCGCTGATGGAGCCGTAGTCGGAAATGGTGACGTTCGGGTACGAGCTGAGGCCGGAGCAAGCGCCGCCCTCGTGGTCGAAGCTCCCGCAGGTGCGCGCAATGTTCTCGGGCTTGCACGTCCAGTCGACTTGCTTGCAGAAGCCCTCCGTGGACTCCGAGGAGCACGCCATGTAGGGCTGGGCAGTCGCATAGCTCAGTCCACTGCCGCTGTCGGAGATCTTCTTCAGCCACTGGTACACTCCGTCGATCGATCCACCGTGGCAGCTGCCCACGCCGCCGCAGTTGAGGATGTGCTGCACGGACGGGTTGACGTCGATTCCCTCGGCGTTGCGGGCGATCTTGACACGGTCAGCGAGCGCAGACACCGCCCCATGAGCCCAGCAGGAGCCGCAGTACTGGGGGATGTGCTGGTTGAGGTTCATGGTGCAGAAGCTCTTGCCATCCTTGCTGCACCAGTTGAACTCCTCGGGGTACTCGGCATCAGACAGCAGCAGCTCGTGAGAGTTGGAGGCGTTGCCGCGCCACACGATGCCCATGCCCTCCTGCACCTCGCGTGCGAGGAGCTCGTTCCTGCGCTGGCGGCCACCGCCGCAGGTGAAGACGCCGGACGGCAGGCGCTTTGCGTCCTCCTTCTGGAAGCAGGCGCTCGGCACCGCCGCGGCCTCTGGAGGCTTCCGAGGGGGGTCCGAGCAGACGGGGTCGGAGAATAGCGCCGCATCGCCGATGCATCGCAGTTGCATCGGCGACGTCGGCGACGTCGGCGATGTATCGGTGATGTCGGCGAAAGTCGGGCCCCACATCGAGCCGCATCGCCGATGCATCGGCGGCTACGGCGCGATCCTCCGACCCCGCCTCCTCGGACCCCACCTGGGAGACTCGGAGCCTTGCACCAGGTGCACGCGGAATCCGCGCTGCAGCTCTTCTCGTCGGTGTACTTCCCGTTGCACGCATCGCCCGCCCGCGCGGAAGCGAGCAGGGCGAAGGCCGCGGCGGCCCTCATCATCAGGACGAGTGGGTCGGGCAGCTCGGCGCGGGGAAGGGCGGGGTGGATAAGGCGGCCGCTCGGAGCAGCCCCCCGAGCCTCAGACACGAGGCGCCCGAAGGGCAGCACGCCCTGCCGACGAGCAGGACTGAAGGACTCCAGATGTGGCCAAGAGCGCCGTCGAGGAGGGGACTGGCAGAGTGCGGGGGGGGAAGCCTCATCATCAAGCCTTCATCCTCTGGGCACGTATGCTAAAGTACGGCGTCCGTTTCAACCTCTGGAGGAACCAAACGGTACCGATACCGCTACTCTCCGGACCTCTCCTGGAGTGCGTTCTCAAAAGGATTTTGAGGCGAATCCAGCGGAAACGACGAGGGCCTCCCAAGAAGCCCAACAAGGGGAAAACGGGCGAGGGGTAGCGGTATGGGCACCGTTTCCTCATCTGAACCTCGTTATCAGAAAACATCGGCACATTCACCACCAGCATCGTCACAATCAGCATCGCCATGACCATACGCATCCTCATGGAGGGACTCCTGACGTCGAACCATGGGGCGCCGGTGGCGCACGACGTCCAACGCAATGCGGGCGCGTCGTCCTTCCTTAGTTAGTCTGAGGAGTAGGCGGGGGCGGGGGAGGAGGAGGAGGAGGAGGAGGAGGAGGAGGAGGAGGAGGAGGAGGAGGAGAAAGCAGGAGGAGGAGAGGAGGAGGAGGAGGAGGAGGAGGAGGAGGAGGGCGAGGAGGGGGAGGAGAAAGAGGAGAAGGAGGAGGACGAGGAGGAGGAGGAGGAGGAGGAGGAGGAGGAGGAGCAGGAGGACTAGGAGGAGGAGGAGGAGGAGGAGGAGGAGAAGGAGGAGGGAGAGAGGGGTGAGGAGGAGGATGTGGAGGTGGTTTTAGGACCAGTCCCATTCACCGCCGAATAATGAAGGGAGGGGGTCAAACTTATAGGCCTCTCTCGGTTAACGGCGAGGCCGATGCCGGCGACGAGGAGGATGAGGCATCATGTTTGCCAAGCGCCACAGGGCGCCTCATCCTCTCGGGCACTAGCTCGTCCGGCCGGCGCGAGGCCCGGGCGATGCCCCCCCCGTGCTCTTGGCGCCCGCCGCCCCTGCCACCGCTGGTGCTGCCACCCGACTGCGAGACCCACCGAGTGCCCCCACTCGACTCGGCAGTCACGCTACCGCACGATCCGGCCTGCGCCACTGCTGCTGGCTCCGGGCCGCCGCCTCCTCAAGCCTCACGAAGCCCATCCACGCCACAGCTACTGGCTTATACAGCCGCCTGAGCAGCCCCTGCGCCTGAGCCCCCCGAAGCCCCGCGACGGCTGACCGCCGCGCCTCTTCCTCGCACGGTGGCCATGTCTGCGGCTGCCATGCTGCTGGCCACACCCTGCGCCATGTCCCTCGCCTCCCAGAGATACAACGGAACGCGCCACTGTTCCAGCGCCCCCACCTCTGCGCCAGCGCTGCGTCCTTGAACACCGCGCACAGGGTGGACGAGACCAATCCTCAGGGCGCGGGGGTCGAAGTCGTTCGGGTCGGCTCCCTCCGCCACGGCCGCCTGCTTAAACGCCCGCTGGACGTCCGCCCGCACAACCAGCTTCTCGTCGCTGAAGGCAAACAGTGTGCCGTGCATCCTATGCCGCGCCTATGCCCGAACCTCTCCTTCGCCCACCCCTCGTATGTGGCCGAGGCCGCCACGACGCACAGGCGGGCCTCCGCCTCCTTGCCTGCCGCCGCCTCGACCTTGAAGCGGTTGCGCCACTCGCCGCGCTTGTGCTGGTTGCTGACCTGGATTTTGATGACCACCGAGTCTGCCCTAGACCAGCTCCTGCACGGCTCGCTACCTGTCTTCGGCGCGACGCCCACACCTCGTGCAGCCATGCTGCCCGCGTAGCCGTTGTGGTCGCAAGACATGTGCTTGCTGGTCCTCAGCAGGATGAAATAGCCCGTGGCCACGCTCCTTCCCGAGACCTCTTGGGCTGCAGCTTCTTCATGATCCACCGCATCCTCCTCGGCGTGACCGGCTTCTTCCACTCGGGGGCGCCATCGCGCTGCCTGAGGCCGTCGATCGCCATCCAGAATCTGCCCGCGCCCCGCTAGGTGCGCGACAAACTCGAGCAACAGCTCCTCCTTGTCCCTCCCATTGGCCTGGGTGATCTCCCTGAGCGGACTGATCCCGCGCGGCATGCAGAGAAGGGACCACCAGCGCAAACCCAGGCTGTGACTTGATGGTGGTGCTCGCCAACTTGCCCAAGATGAACTCAAGCTTGGCCTTCTCCCAAATCTTCGCGCCAAGAGTCTTCAAGTCCGCAAAATCAAATCGTCGGGCTTCGCCTTGTCTAGCACCGCCTCTGGCCCCAGCAAGTTCGGGGGCCGGTGGGCCACTGGCTCCACGCTCTTGCCCTTCTTCCTATTATTCTGGGCGTTGGCGCCCGCATTCCTTTCCTCGGCCTCCTTAGGCAGCATGGCCGCCACTGCCCAGTCCAGCCAACCCGACCTCTGATCTGGGTAGCCCCAGATCTCCACCAGCAAGTCCAGTTGCACCTGCGCCTCTTGCTGCTCTGGGGAGCCGCTGTGCCTGCCGTCGCCCCCATCTCCCCCAGCTAGCGAGCGCAAGCTCGACCGGATGCCAACCAGCACCGCGCCGGCGCTTCCTGCTCGACGTGTCTCCCTCAGGTAGTGGGCGACCGCCTCTGGGTCGATAGGGCCTGCCTTCTCCGATTCGGGCGAGCTCGCCCCTCCGCTGCTGTCCTCGGCGGTCCTGGCGCCCACCTCTACCAGATAACGCACTCTTCTGGCGTTGAGCCTCCTCGCTCTCAAGCCTGCGGTCGCGCTCCTCCAGGGCCGCCGCCCTGGCGGCTTCCGCCTCCGCCGCTCTCGCGGGACAGGCTGGCAAGGGCCCCTGGCCCCTCGGCTTCTCCCCTGCATCCTGCAGGTCCTCGCTTCCCGCCTCGGAGGAAGTTGCACCGCCCCCGCCCTCGCCCTCGAGCGTCAGCGCACGCTGCGGGAGCCCGCCGAAGGCTCCCCCTGCCCAGCCCAGCTCTGGCATCAGGAGAGGCCCCCGCTGCCGGAGAGAGGCCGCCGCCCCTCGGCTAGGGCGCGGCGGCGCTGAGAGCGCCTCGCGCAGGCGAGGGCCCTCCGCCACCTTGGGGCGGGCCGCGCGCCTTCCATCGTCTGGGGTCCCCGGCTGCTCCATACCCTGACCTGATGCAGCACTGCCTCCTCCTGCAGCGTATAGGGGCCGCGGCCAGAGACTGCTCCTGCGCACCTCCTCTGGTGTCGAAAGAGAGAGAGAGAGAGAGAGAGAGAGAGAGAGAGAGCCACACCTGCCACGACCCGCGAGCATGGTGCAATATGGAATTACCACGCCAGACCAGGCCCAACGTTGCTTCTCAATGGGTTGCGGATGCCCAAAGTGGCCCAGGAGGCGTAGGTAACTCCGCCAGGTGGGCGGAACGGACTTTGCCCCGATCCCTGAAACGCCGAAGCCACGCGGGGCACGTGTGTGTGCACCGCTTATAACCAGGTTGGGCCATGTGCTATGCATAACCACCCTGGAATCCGCTTGGACACCCCTCACCCCATGAACATAAACTGTCGGAGCTCCGCGCGTATCTCTTGGACCGTCGCTGGGTCCCCCCCCCTGGCGCGCGGAGCGCGCCGGGGGCGGCGTCGCAGGCGCCGCCAGGCGGGCCCAGCGCCGACCCGAGGAATCCGCGCGGAGCCCCGAAAACTTCTGTCCCTTGCCGCGCCTGTCGTCCTCGAGCGACACCGCCGGCAGCCTCGAGCGACAACGCCGTCATTCTCAGCGCCCCTCCCTTCTCCTCCTCCTTCTCCTCTGCCTCCCTCCTCACTCCGTCCTCCTCCTCCTCCTCCTCCTCCTCCTCCTCCTCCTCCTCCTCCTCCTCCTCCTCCTCTTCCTCTGCCTCTTCCTCTTCCTCCTCCTCCTCCTCCTCCTCCTCCTCCTCCTCCCCTCCCCCGCCCCCCGAGAGAGCGACGGCGGTCGGGCTCGAGCAGAAAGACGGGAGCGGGAGGGCGGCGGGGCGCAGCGGCGGCGTCCGTCGTGGAGGAGGAGGCCACGACCGTGTTGTGGGACCCGAGGTCGATGCCGACATACCTCCGCCCCACAGCGCGCCGCCCCCCCCCGCATCCCTCCTCCACCTTCCTAAAATCTCGTTATCCTCTTCTTCTTCCTCCTCCTCCTCTTCCCGCTCCTTCTCCTCCTCCTACTCATCCTCCTCCTCCTCCTCCTCCCGCTCCTCCGCCCTCTGTAGCTGTAGCTACTGGCTTCAGTGATCATCCGAACGCAGCCATCCCACCAACCCCCCAGAGGCCGTTACCCTTTGGGGGGGGGGTCCGACTAGCATTGTGGAACAGAAAGGAGGATGTCTCATGGGGGTGGGATAGTTCCTTGCGGTCCCAGCACGGAGGGGAGGGAAAAGGAACGACGGGACGGCGCGACGACCATCTGGAGAAAGGAGGAACAGCGGTGGTGGACTGAGACGAGAAGGGCCGCAGCAAACGTACCCACATTTTAACAACCACCAGCAGCGATGCCACAATATGGCAGCGGGCGTGCCCAAAACCATGAGGGTGTGGGACGCGAAACCATAAGAGCAGCAGCAAACGCAGCCACCAGCAGCTATACGACAGGATGGCAGCAAACGTACCATCATGTCCATTGCCACTGGCAGCGCATACACCAACATTTCAAGGCAGAACTGCCGCAGCAAACGTGCCCACACTCGTTTTCCACGAGCAGCTACACGGGATGGCAACAAACGTACCCACGTTTCAACTGCCACCGCCAACTACACGGCAGCATCGCCGCAAGCGTGCCCACAGTTCAACTGCTACGGGCAGCGACCGTACCCACAGTTCAACGGCAGAAGGGTGAATCATACGAACCACGTGTCCTCTACCACCAGCAGCTATAGCAAAGAACGCCCGCACCCCATGTGCACACATGCGAGCTGGGCGCAATTCCATGGGAGATGGCCTGCTGGAGATGACATAACGTGACCCTGGTCGTGTGCATCTTGCCGTCGAGCGAAAGCCTCTTGTATTCACATAAGACGTCTTACAACAACTATTTCAGCATCCATTGTAATCGAGGGTGACGATGATGATGCTGATGATGACGCTGATGACGCTGAGGACGATGATGATAATACTAATAACGATTATGAAAGGCCTTTTGGGGGCTGAGAAGAGCCGCCCAAAAATAGGTCCGTCGTCTTCCTCGCCCAATGCTTCAGAGCTCCCTCCGAGCTCGTTGTTATGGCGATTTCGCTAGCGAGTCTACTATCACGTATTTTCGGGGATGGCTCCGATGAGAGCTTCATTTTGAACATACGACGTCCAAGAACAACTAGATCAGCATCTCAATGTTCGGAACATGTCCCGAGCCAAACGGACAGTTCCGAGTATCAGGGCGATTTCGCGCCCGAACTCAACATATCGATGTTGTGAAGACGTCTCGGGCAAGAGCGTCGTTTTTCACATGAAACGTCTTGAAACAACTCCTTCGGCATCTTTGTGTTGCATGCTTGGGAAGGTCTCGAGCGAAACACCCAATCTGAGGGGGGATCCGCCGAGCAACGAACATTGGGCAACGCTGAGCGCGTTGTCCCTCACAAGTTGTTTTTTACTTACGACCCCTAATGTTCATGCCCGAACAAACTCCCTCTACCTTCTCGTTCCGAGAAGGCGATGACGATGGCGGTTGTGTATATGATGACGCTGACGACGATGATGACGATACTGATGAGGGTGATGATGACAATGATGATGATGATGATGATGATGATGATGATGATGATGCTGATGCTAATTATGAGGATGATGATTGTGTTGGTAAGTGTGATGATCATGATGGGGATGATGACGATGATCACAATACCACTGCGTAACTTCACTGACATCCTCTTCGAGTCCTGCGCTGGCCGAAATGAACGCTTCCACATGGGAAACCACTCGGCGATGGGCATCTTAGGCGGCTTTGGTGCTCCGCATCGCATCTTCAAGACATTCAACAGCTCTCCGAACGGCAGCCTGCCACCGGCCGTCCCGTTGCTTCCCCGTCTCGATGCCCACAGAATCACCAATCCAAACTGACCAGCTGCGCTCCGACTTGTCCTGTACATGTCCAGAGCGCAGGTCGTCTCTGACCAACATTAGCTGAAGTCCCAACCAATTCGTACCACTGCCATCACTGTTGTCGGACCAGATGTTATCGCGGCCGCTCACTGGGTTGTGCTCCAGCAAGAACGCGTCATTGGTATTACGGAGGTCATCCGCAAGCCTTGATCCACGAGCGAACTTAATCTTCAAAACGGCCAGCATGGCATTCCAATTGCTACCGTAACCACTGTAGGTCAGATCGGCTTCGCTTTGGTATCTCCTCTTCAGGCGGAAAGCTTCTTCGGCAGTGGCAGTTTCAAACTCAGCAGCACGCTTCCAATGCTTCAAGGCTTGAAAAGCTGCCTCCGCGTTGCCAAATTGATACTTCCGATGAGTACTGAAAGTCGGAGGTGCAAGTGTGATAGAACCAGGGTAGAAATTCCCGAGGAAGCTCGAGTCGCAGATGCTATCCCACGCAAGTGGGCGACCTGGGTAATAGAACGCAATGAGAGGAACATGCTCCCGAACATCTCCACCGCTGATGCATCTTGGATCTGTCATCAGAATGGTACTGCGGCCGTTGGATTCGCACCTGATGGAGCAAAACTGACCAGGCTGTCCGTCGCACGAAGGCAAATCACACCCTGGCCGTACACACCTCGTACTGTGCCCCTTTTTGTTATCGTCCGCGTGGCGCCCGCAGTGCGTCAAGCTCGGACAACCTGACACCGTGCAGGGGGGCGGGCTCGAGGAGCACCCACCGAGAGCCCGGGGCAGCTGGGGCGCGCTCTGCGGTGTCAGCGGCCGGGCCCGCTCGCCAGCCGCGGCGGTGGCCTCCACTGAGCGGAACATGATACCAACCCCTTGTCGCACGCGTCGGACGGCCGCCCGGCAACAGCGCAGAATGAAGGCACTGCGGTGGATCGCTTGATGCCTCTATCAACCTGGATCTCTGGCCATTCCGTGATCGGAATCTCCGGCAGCACCTCGATCGGGTCTCGACGCTGGCTGCGAGGGACATAGTGGCGGCAGATTGGCAGCTCGAGAAAGATGGGTTCGTTCCAACCAAAACGGCTACAGAGGGTGATGATGATGATGCTGCTGCTGATGATGATGATGATGAGAAAGATAAGAATGAAGAATATCTTGGACTGTCTTGGAGCGCTCATGGACAGTCTTGGAGCCCTCTTGAGCCTCTCTTGGACCGTCTTGGTTCGCAAGCTCCCTGGATATCACCATTGTTCGAGGATGTCTCGAACGCGAGCCCCATTTTGAACAGAGGACGTCTTGAAACAACTCGTCCACTACTCCATTTGTGCGTGGATGTCTCCAGCGAGAGCCTTATTTTCAAGATGTGGGCGAATTCGCAAGAGCCCTGGAGACGTCATTTGTTTGAGGATGTCTCGAGCGGGAGCCTCATGTTTAACGTTAAACGTATTTAGCCACGTCCTTGGATATTTCATCTTGTTCGAGAATGTCTCAGGCGAAACAGCCATTTTTTCGGGAACCTGATCGGACAAGAACGGGAAGCGCCGCTCCAGTCCAATGGGCTTATTGGACGAATTAGAAAAAATAAAAAAAAATAAAAAAAAGGAAGGCGAGGGCGACAAAGAGGCGATGACGAGGACGACGTGGAGCACGTGAGGATGGCGAGGAGGAGCATGAGGACAACGACGAAGAACAGAAGCACAAGGACGAGGACGAAGAGAACGAGGGCGAGCACGAGGAGGAATGCGGAGGACGATGACGACGACGACGACGACGACGACGACGACGACGACGACGACGACGGAGGACAGTAAGAGGCAATTGGAGAAGGACGTTGAATCAGGAGAGGGTCCTGGTGACCCTTTCGGGCTACCCTGAGGGCTCCTGGCGCCGCGCGGAGTTGTCTTGAGGCCTGTTGGGTGGGGTTCTTGGGGGCCTCTTGGGTCCTCTTTTGGGCTTGTGGGGCCTTCTTGGGCAGTCTGGGCCCGTCGTGGGGTTCTTTGGGAACTTTCTCGGGCCGTCTCGGCGATGTCTTGGGCCGTCTAGGGGTTTGGGGGTCGTTTGGGGCGTTCCCGGGAGTCTCTTGGGGCCCTCTTGGCCCGTCTTGTGGTTCTTGTGAGCTGTCTGGGTGCCTCCTGGCGCGCTCGTGGGGGTCTCTTGGAGTCCTCTTGGGGCGCTGTTTGGCGCTCGTGGGGCCATCTGGGCATCTTTTGGGCCTCCTTTGGGCCGTTCGAAAGCCCTCCGGGAGCGATTCTAAGACAATGTCGATTCGAAGTCCCCTCCGGGGCCGATTTTTCGAGGATGTCTCGAGTGAAACAGCCATGTTTCAGAAACCTTTCCTGACATGAACGGGAAACGCGTGAAACCGAACTGCTTGGCAAGAACATGCGCCAACATCAAGATCGACTGTAGCATAGGCGCTCGTCCCGTCCACGGGGGGTATCGGGTGGAGTTCACTACCCGCGCAAGTTCAGGCAGATGAGAGACACTCCGTATCTGGCCTTGATGCTCGGGAAAGGGATCCTGGAGCCCAGGTGCTCTTCGTCGTCGTCGTCCTCCTCCTCCTCCTCCCCCAACCGAGTTAGGGAACAATCGAGCCCGCCAAAAAACAGTCACCAAGCGCCTCGAATGGCTGTTTCGTTGCGGGCGCCTTTGTGGTCAATCGGGGAAGGCTGAACTCGCGCGGGGAGTGAACTCCACCTGCTGCCCGCGATGGAGGGCGGATCCCCGCGGGAGGTTTAGGGTCAAGAACAGGTGGAGTTCACTCCTCGCTTGAATTCAGCGACACGCGCGAGCTGACATGGGCAGCGAGCTCCACCTGGCACCACTCGCGGTCAGTCGGGGAGGGCTGAACTCGCGCGGGGAGTGAACTCCATCTGCTGTGGGCGGTGGACCACGGCGAATCCCGCGGGAGATCAGGGCCAAATCCAGGTGGAATTCATCGCCCGCCTGAGCTCATTGACGCGCACGAACTGACATGGGCAGCCAGCTCCACCTGGCGACCCTCGCGATCAATCGGGGAGAGCTGCACTCGCGCGGAGAATGTCTTCCACCTGCTGTGGGCGTTGGGCGGGAGCTGATCCCCGCGGGAAGCCCCGGAATGTTGAAAAACATAATGGCTTTGAATCACTGTCATCTTTCTGGAAGACTCGTCCGAAGGCACATTAAAAGATGTCTCGAACGGACTTGGCAAGACAACCACCAGCAACACGATCAACCGTAGCGCGGGCGCTTTCCCGGAACGTCCACGGGGATATCAGGTGGAATTCACGATCCGGGCAAGTTCACGCGCAGCCCCAGAACGTTGAACAACACAATCGTTACTCCCACCTGTTGGAAGCCTAAACCTTCATATCATAACCCTACATACCCCTAACCTGCATCGGCATGACCACTATGATATGATGGTTTCGAGGACCCGTTCGAAGGCATGTTGAGGGGGGATGCCTCGAGCGAAACGCTAAGCTTTGGAAGGCAGTGTTGAAAGCCCATGAGTTGGTTTAAACAATTTCGCTTCTTGGGCCTTGGAGGTCATCCGAGAGCGCTCCGAATGGATGCCTGAAAAGAGCTCTTGACGCTTCCCATTGTTTCGAGTATGTCTCAAGCGAAACGGTCATAGTTGTTGAAGGTCCTGAGATTAGAACAGCGATTACAACATCCCCATGTTCCGAAGATGTCTCGGGCGAAACGCTCATGCTTAGCATGAGATGCCTTAAGATACGACCCCCGAAAATCGCGATTGGCGAGGATGTCTCGGGCGAAACGCCCATCATTGGGAATCCGCTTGGGTCGAATAAAGGAACACTCCCGAGCACTTCCCCCTACACTCCCCCCGGTTGATCATATTTCCCTTCGGGCCTACACCAACGTCCATCGCGCGGCTCTTCGAGTCTGAGCGCGCTTCCCGACATCCGCCAGCGAGTTCCCAAGTATGGCGCGGAGCCATAAACGAACATTTGAGTTGAATCCAGAAAAGCAACCCACGCCTGAGGCGCTTCCCGTCATTAGAGACCTCCTAGATGGGGTCGGAGTATATGGGGTCGGAAGATCGCGCCGCATCGCCGATACATCGGCGATGCACCAGCGATTCATCGTCGACGTCAGCGGTGCATCGGCGACGTCGGCGCGAAGCAAATCGGGCTCCACATCGAGCCGCATCGGCGATGCATCGGCGATGCGGCGCCATCCTCCGACCCCATCTACTCCGACCCCATCTGGGATCGAGTCATCCGCCAAGCGAACGCCCATTTGCAATCACGAGCCCGTTGTCCCTCGCGTCCCTGTCCTTACTAGCTACGAGTAAGCATGGCCTAACAACTCCTATCACCTTCTCGTTCGGAGAAAGCGCTTCCCGACATGTTTCAGAAACATTCCCGGACAAGAACGCGAAGCGCCGCTTCTCTGAGTTTAGCTTGCGTGCGCACGCGCGCCTGGATTGGCAACCAACGCGCATGCGTGCACATGGATGCAGTCGCTGGGCTCCCCTAAATGCCCAGATGGTCGCCGTTGGTAGCTCGTGTTTAGTGGCTGCCTGCGGTTGCTTTGGTCAGGTGTTGCGCGTGGCCTAAGCTTGTGTGTGCGTATGTGCATGTGCCTATGTGTGTACGTGTGTTTGCCTGTGTGTGCCTGTGTTTGCGGCTGTGTGCATGTGTGCGCGTGTGTGCGCGGGCGTGTACAAGGTCTGTACCAGGGATGCGGGGAGACCGGGTGCACGGTGTGCGTACGGGACGTGTGCCTGGCGGGCGGGCGGAGGGGGGTGTACGGTGTGTGTGTGTGAGTGTGAGTGTGAGTGTGAGTGTGAGTGTGAGTGTGAGTGTGTGTGTGTGCGGTGTGTGTGTGTGTGTGTGTGTGCGTGTGTGTGTGTCTGTGTGTGTGCGTGGGTGGGTGGGTGGGTGGGTGGGTGTGTGCCTGGCGGGCCTGCGGGAGGGGCACAGGCTGTGCGTACGCTGTGTGTTGAGTGTGAGTGGTGTATTGTTTACAGGGTGTCCCAGGGTGTATGCTCCATATGGGCATTCATGCGCTGGGAGCGTGTTGTGCTCCTACTCCTCCTCCTCCTCCTTCTCCAACTCCTCCTCCAACTCCTTCATCTCCTCCTCCTCCTGCTCCTCCTCCTCTTCCAGCTCCTCCTCCTCCTCCTTTTCCTCCTCCTCCTCTTCCTACTGCTTTTCCTCCTCCCTCCTCCTCGTCCTCGTTGTTTCGAGGATGTCTCGAGCGAGAGCCTCGTTTTTAACGAAAGGCGTCTCAAACATAATTACGATTTCAACATCTCCATTGTTCGAGGATGTCTCGAGCGAAACGGCCGTTTGGGGGGGAATGCGCCGAACGACCAACCTTTTCCGACCGCGAGCCAAATGTCCCTCGCGAGTTTGTCATGTTATATTCCTTACTCAGCATAACCTAACAAACTCCCATCACCTTCTCATTTCGAGAAGGCGCTTCCCGTCATCCGCCAGCGAGTTCCGGGATGCAGCCCGTATCCTCGAGTGAGAGAAAGTTATAGAACACTAAACCCCATAACCAACGCTGCACGCTGGAGGCGCTTCTCGTCATCCGTCACCGTGCCTTCAGCACGTAGTGGAGTGTCTCAAGGCTCATACATTCGTCAATGTTCAAAAATCAAAAGGATTCACTTGTACTTCCGGTGTGTGTGTGTGTGTGTCGCGTAAGTTCCCCTGAGGCAGAGCGCTTGAACAAACAAATGTACACGTTTCCCATCTGCTAGTAGTGCGATGCCTCTACCTCCCTTCCTCCTTCCGCAATCCCGCCTCCTTGCTACTCGCCCACACCCAGACTCACACACACACACTCGGACTCGCTCACACTCAGACGCACTCACACTCAGACTCGCTCAAGTCAGAACACACAGCTGACACTCAGGTCGATCATACTCAGGCTCACTTGCACTCATACTCTCACACTCAGACTCGCTCGTAGCTACAACAATCAGCTTAGTCATACTCAAACGTCGTACTCATTGATAGCTCGACACACACAAACACAATCTGACTCACTCACAGTGAGACTCCCCCACACACAGATCCACGCACACATCACCGCGACGTAGCAGGCGTGGCACTCGGGCAACCAA